GTCTATAGTCTAGTCTATAGTCTAGTCTATAGTCTAGTCTATAGTCTAGTCTATAGTCTAGTCTATAGTCTAGTCTATAGTCTAGTCTAGTCTATAGTCTAGTCTATAGTCTAGTCTATAGTCTAGTCTATAGTCTAGTCTATAGTCTAGTCTATAGTCTAGTCTAGTCTATAGTCTAGTCCAGTCTATAGTCTAGTCTAGTCTATAGTCTAGTCTAGTCTATAGTCTAGTCTAGTGTATAGTCTAGTCTATAGTCTAGTCTATAGTCTAGTCTATAGTCTAGTCTATAGTCTAGTCTATAGTCTAGTCTATAGTCTAGTCTAGTCTATAGTCTAGTCTATAGTCTAGTCTAGTCTAGTCTATAGTCTAGTCTAGTCTATAGTCTAGTCTAGTCTATAGTCTAGTCTATAGTCTAGTCTATAGTCTAGTCTATAGTCTAGTCTATAGTCTAGTCTATAGTCTAGTCTATAGTCTAGTCTATAGTCTAGTCTATAGTCTAGTCTATAGTCTAGTCTATAGTCTAGTCTATAGTCTAGTCTATGTCTAGTCTATAGTCTAGTCTAGTCTATAGTCTATATATAGTCTAGTCATAGTCTAGTCTATAGTCTAGTCTAGTCTATAGTCTATATATAGTCTATAGTCATAGTCTAGTCTATAGTCATAGTCTAGTCTATAGTCTAGTCTATAGTCTAGTCTATAGTCTAGTCTATAGTCTAGTGTAGTCTATAGTCTAGTCTAGTCTATAGTCTAGTCTAGTCTATAGTCTAGTCTATAGTCTAGTCTAGTCTATAGTCTAGTCTATAGTCTATATATAGTCTATAGTCTAGTCTAGTCTATAGTCTAGTCTATAGTCTAGTCTATAGTCTAGTCTATAGTCTAGTCTATAGTCTAGTCTATAGTCTAGTCTATAGTCTAGTCTATAGTCTAGTCTATAGTCTAGTCTGGTCTAGTCTAGTCTAGTCTAGTCTAGTCTATAGTCTACAGTCTATAGTCTATACTCTATAGTCTATAGTCTATAGTCTAGTCTAGTCTAGTCTATAGTCTAGTCTATAGTCTAGTCTATAGTCTAGTCTATAGTCTAGTCTATAGTCTATTCTATAGTCTAGTCTATAGTCTAGTCTATAGTCTAGTCTATAGTCTAGTCTATAGTCTAGTCTATAGTCTAGTCTATAGTCTAGTCTATAGTCTAGTCTATAGTCTAGTCTATAGTCTAGTCTATAGTCTAGTCTATAGTCTAGTCTATAGTCTAGTCTATAGTCTAGTCTATAGTCTAGTCTATAGTCTAGTCTATAGTCTAGTCTATAGTCTAGTCTATAGTCTAGTCTATAGTCTAGTCTATAGTCTAGTCTATAGTCTAGTCTATAGTCTAGTCTATAGTCTAGTCTATAGTCTAGTCTATAGTTAAGTCTACATTCTACAGTCTAGTCTATGGACCAGTTAAGTATATAGTCTAGTCTATATACCAGTTAAGTCTAAAGTCTAGTCTATATGTTAGTTTTATCTACATTCTTATCTTTAATCCAGTCTATAGTCTAGCTAGTCTATATATCAGTCTGTGGTCTAATCTGCTCTATAGTCTTCGTTTTCTATTTCTTACTTTAAAATATTTTTAACTCACTTCCCTAGTTTCCCCTTTTCGTTCCTATTCCCTAACAGTAGTAAATTTAATTTAAATTTTCATATCATAGTTTTCTTGTTCTTAAATAAATAATTTATTTCTTGTTTTTTGCTGTAAAAATCCAGCTGCATTTAAATTGAAAACTCTTCAATCTATAAAGAAATTTCCCATTTGAAAATAGTTTCATGAATGACAATCATTTTAATAAGTGTTCTTCAGACACTTAAGTTTGTTTATTTGATATTTGTGTAGTAGGTTTTTCTTTATTAGATAATCCTTTCCGGGTGATTTGCATTAGTCGTGTTGCAGTTAGACAGTCATAATATGCAGGCAGTGTGTGTTTGTATAGGCACACTAAATGTTCTAGTTTCAATGTACTTCTAATACCCTTCGCTATAAACAAGAAAAATATTTGTTCGATTTTAGGCATTCATTTGTAACTATTTCTTTAACCTGCGGTCATTGCAGCTCTTCCTTATCAAGATTTCTTAAGAGACACTTCGGGAACGAAGAACTTATTGATAATTAATATGTAACCGTCAGTTCTTTAGGAATAAAATCACGCAAAACCAGTTCAGTGACTAGCTGTTTTTTGGGGCCCAGATCTTTCTCATAATCATAGATTTGACATGCCGATGACATGTTTTCAAGGATTATCTTTTAACTATGATGCCCAACTAAAATTTTAATTCCCTATAGTCAACTTTACAAGCGGTCTTGACCGATAATGATCTATTTCAAATTCTCATAAAAATATTTTTAATATTTTTCATATATTTAGACCCACATGTTGCATTAGTTTGTCTTCTGTCTAACTGTCTGTTGGATGTTCAGTCATATGCACGGTTACTATTGCATGTTAATGAATGAATTTCTTTATTCTGTTCTCAAAACAGATAATTTTAGTTTTTCTAAAACGTTTCGCTTGAGTTTTTTGCATTCAACCATTCATTCGTTCATTCATGAAATTGATTTTTTTTTTTGTTCTTTCCTTTTATGAAATTTGACTTTTAAATAAGGCATGAACAAATATTAATAAGCTTTATTTAGAAGGGCAATTGTTGGAAACAAAAATTTGCTCAAACAAAAATACGGGAGGTGATATTAATACTTTGATGAGATATTCGAGTATATAAAGAAATGATGAATAATGTATTTAAATTATAATCGTTAGAATATGGAAGTCTAGTCTATAGTCTAGTCTATAGTCTAGTATATAGTCTAGTCTATAGTCTAGTCTATAGTCTAGTCTATAGTCTAGTCTATAGTCTAGTCTATAGTCTAGTCTATAGTCTAGTCTATAGTCTAATCTATAGTCTAGTCTATAGTCTAGTCTATAGTCTAGTCTATAGTCTAGTCTATAGTCTAGTCTATAGTCTAGTCTATAGTCTAGTCTATAGTCTAGTCTATAGTCTAGTCTATAGTCTAGTCTATAGTCTAGTCTATAGTCTAGTCTATAGTCTAGTCTATAGTCTAGTCTATAGTCTAGTCTATAGTCTAGTCTATAGTCTAGTCTATAGTCTAGTCTATAGTCTAGTCTATAGTCTAGTCTATAGTCTAGTCTATAGTCTAGTCTATAGTCTAGTCTATAGTCTAGTCTATAGTCTAGTCTATAGTCTAGTCTATAGTCTAGTCTATAGTCTAGTCTATAGTCTAGTCTATAGTCTAGTCTATAGTCTAGTCTATAGTCTAGTCTATAGTCTAGTCTATAGTCTAGTCTATAGTCTAGTCTATAGTCTAGTCTATAGTCTAGTCTATAGTCTAGTCTATAGTCTAGTCTATAGTCTAGTCTATAGTCTAGTCTATAGTCTAGTCTATAGTCTAGTCTAGTATAGTCTCAGTATAGTCTATAGTCTAGTCTAGTCTAGTCTATAGTCTAGTCTATAGTCTAGTCTATAGTCTAGTCTAGTCTATAGTCTAGTCTATAGTCTAGTCTAGTCTATAGTCTAGTCTAGTCTATAGTCTAGTCTAGTCTAGTCTATAGTCTAGTCTATAGTCTAGTCTAGTCTATAGTCTAGTCTAGTCTATAGTCTAGTCTAGTCTATAGTCTAGTCTAGTCTATAGTCTAGTCTAGTCTATAGTCTAGTCTAGTCTATAGTCTAGTCTAGTCTATAGTCTAGTCTAGTCTATAGTCTAGTCTATAGTCTAGTCTATAGTCTAGTCTAGTCTATAGTCTAGTCTATAGTCTAGTCTATAGTCTAGTAATTAGTCTAGTCTATAGTCTAGTCTATGTCTAGTCTATAGTCTAGTCTATAGTCTAGTCTATAGTCTAGTCTATAGTCTAGTCTATAGTCTAGTCTATAGTCTAGTCTATAGTCTAGTCTATAGTTAGTCTAGTCTATAGTCTAGTCTATAGTCTAGTCTATAGTCTAGTCTATAGTCTAGTCTATAGTCTAGTCTATAGTCTAGTCTATAGTCTAGTATAGTCTAGTCTATAGTCTGGTCTATAGTCTAGTCTATAGTCTAGTCTATAGTCTAGTCTATAGTCTAGTCTATAGTCTAGTCTATAGTCTAGTCTATAGTCTAGTCTATAGTCTAGTCTATAGTCTAGTCTATAGTCTAGTCTATAGTCTAGTCTATAGTCTAGTCTATAGTCTAGTCTATAGTCTAGTCTATAGTCTAGTCTATAGTCTAGTCTATAGTCTAGTCTATAGTCTAGTCTATAGTCTAGTCTATAGTCTAGTCTATAGTCTAGTCTATAGTCTAGTCTATAGTCTAGTCTATAGTCTAGTCTATAGTCTAGTCTATAGTCTAGTCTATAGTCTAGTCTATAGTCTAGTCTATAGTCTAGTCTATAGTCTAGTCTATAGTCTAGTCTATAGTATAGTCTATAGTCTAGTCTATAGTCTAGTCTATAGTCTAGTCTATAGTCTAGTCTATAGTCTAGTCTATAGTCTAGTCTATAGTCTAGTCTATAGTCTAGTCTATAGTCTAGTCTATAGTCTAGTCTATAGTCTAGTCTGCAACTATAAACAATCAAAGTTTCTATAAAAAAAAAAAACAATAGAAAAAATCTTACTTTTTATTTACACAATACTGTAAACTAGTCTCTAGTATACAAATATGAAATTCTTTGCAAACAAAGTTTACAAGCACCCAATTCAAATTTGTTATTGTCTGTATTATTTAAAACTATATTTGAACAAAAATCTGTAAATTAAGAAAGACACACGCGCGACATGATGCCACAGATACAATCAACAAATATTTACGCTTAAAAAGGGGAATTTTAAATAAAAACTAAATTTAAATTTGTCTTTTTTGCATCCATATATAAAAGAACAAACAGAAGATTGCGTATATTGGTGATAAACATGTGCAGATTTTATTTTCTTCAACTTTTACTAATTTATTTCTATTTTAAAATTTTTTCTCTTTGCAGTTATCAAATGCCTTAATGAAAGTAAAATACAAACAATTTCAGAAGCGAAAGAATAGCAAGACAAAAAAATGTTTGCCAAAAATAATATGACCAAGCGTAAAACGCTTATTTTTGCCTGTTTTGGCATTGCCATTGGCCTTTGCATTGGTACAGTATTAAAAAATTATCGCGCCCTGGAAATAGTGAAACGTTGCAGTATGAAGCCGACCAATCAGAAAACACCCTTTGAGATTATAGGTCTAAAACCAGAGGATAATATACAAAATTCACAAAAGAATTTAGTATTTGTGGGTGTGATGACAGCGAAAAATTTCATAGAAGGAAGAGCGAGAGCGGTCTATGATACTTGGGGTAAAGAGGTGCCGGGTCGTATAGCTTTCTTTAGTTCAGAAGGTTCTTATTCAGATGAAATGCCTGTAATAGGTTTAAAGAATGTCGACGATCGTTATCCACCACAAAAGAAATCCTTTATGATGCTGTACTATATGTATGAAAATTATATTGATAAATTTGAATGGTTTATACGTGCCGATGATGATGTCTATATAGAACCTCAGAAATTGGAGAAGTTTTTAAGGTCTATAGACAGTTCGAAGCCTCAATTTATAGGTGAGTAAAGGAAAGCATTCAAATACTGAAATGATTCTAATAAAACTTTTATTTAGGACAAGCTGGCAAGGGTAATAGTGAGGAATTTGGTTTATTATCTTTGGAGTTTGATGAGAATTTTTGCATGGGCGGTCCGGGTGTTATTCTCAGTAGTGAGACCTTGAGAAGAGGTAATTTCTTTTTTGATATACAACTTTTGAAAACATCTTTCTCATGTTTCCTATTTACATTTTAGTTGCCCCTCATATACCCACTTGTTTGAAAAACTTATACAGCACCCATGAGGATGTGGAAGTGGGTAGATGTGTTCAGAAATTTGCCGGCATACCTTGTACTTGGAATTATGAGGTTTGCTCTATCACAATAACTCTTACTTGCTTCATTATTAATATTTTAAATTTCTTATTTTTAGATGCAATATATATTACGCCATAATTCCAGTGGCCGTGCTGCCTTTACGGGCAAACTTAAACGCAAAGAAATTCATAATGCCATTTCATTGCATCCCATTAAACAGGCTCCTCTTATGTATCGTTTACATTCCTATATTCAGGGTTTGAAGGCTGAGGAAATGCGCCAAGAATCTTTATTACTGCATCGTGATATTAAACGTATGGCAAAATATTTGGAAATTCCCGATGACAGTCGTTATTTAGTGCCTGGTATTCCTTTGATTCCAGAAGAGGAGAATAGCAAGCGTCATTTTGAGGACCATAATATATTGGGTAAGTAAAGGCACTGTGACAACAAAGCAAACAACGCGGAATCGAAGATCACATTCAGTAAAAGTGATCTCAACACTATAGGATGAATCATCGAAATATTCTTTGACATTATCAACCATTCCGGAAATAATAGAGTAAAGTTTCTTAGACAAAAACAGTTAAGTGATAGAGCCCATCAATGATAAGCTAGTTACGTCAAACTGTGATATATCACTGAACTAAATAAGTTATTTAGTTGGCAGATCATTCGCAAGAATTCTTATATCATACTTTTTTTCGGGAATTTTTGATGGAAATCAGAATGGACAGACAGAACTCTCTAGAAATCGAAAGTTATTTTTAAAATAAATAATATCTTCATAAATGTCATTTATGTCCAATATCACCACTCTATTTGTATTTAATAAACTTTAAAGACATTTTTTATATGGGTCAAATGTGGACCGATTTTGGCGATTTTCAATACCTGCGTCAATAATTACAAAAATATAAAATATTTTTGTCGTATTTCACACCTCTAATTCAACCCTTTTCGGTCTTATCGAATTTTCAACGAAGAAACAAACTATGTAATAGATAGATATTTACTTGATCATGGTAACTCGATCTTGTGAAATTACAGATCAAAGAATTATGACTCTTAACTTCAAAAAATAGCTCTTACTGAATTTCTAATGACAGTTGACTTGTATCCGATAGACTGCTGATGGGTGTGCAGTTTTTGCTAACGGGTTCAAAAGGCATATCGGTGTCTATATTGGTGATGCCGATATAAAAAGGTCCTTCATGCCCCCTCACGATCTGTCTTCCTAGCAGAGATTCTAGCGATCTGGAATATACATGGTAATGAAGTTGCGAACAAAAGAGCTAGATTGTGTTCGACATAGAAACCATCCATCTGTAACTATTATAGGATGATTTTCGAAGGAATTACTAACATCATCAACAAGTCCTGGAATAGTGGATTGCAAAATATCAAAGACCTTATGGCCAACAATGTGATGTGAGGATTGCATAGGCGCAATCTAAGAATTCTGAAAAGTATCTTCAATTAGGGTCTTTTTCAGTAGGTAAGACAGTAATATACCGGACTATTGCAGGATATGCAAAAACGCAGATGAACTAGAGACGATTGAGCACATAATTTGCCACTGTCCTACAAAATCTCAGTTTGAAATGGCTGGAAACTGGAGAACTGGAGAAAATTAAGGGACACAAGCCACGCAGTCAATAGGTTTAATCAAAGGAGTTAGTCATTTTTTCGATTGAAATTTATAAACAGACTCAGCTTCTCAGAATTCTTTCTTAGAGATTCGATTTGGCAAAACTCCCAGGTTGAATCGCCCGGGGAATCGATCTATTTTCATTCCTATATCTTCTCTTTTTATGTTTTTTAAGATTTTACTAGTGTTTTGTTTCTCTATCCATGGATCTGCACACTCTATGAAGGGAATCACAATAGACCTTATGGTCTCCGAGTGGAATTGCACCTTTTTATGGTGACCCTTCTTAACCTAATTCTAAATAGACAGACATAAAGACACACAAAGCTAAATCGTTTTTAATAGTTTTATTTAGTCTATATATGTAATTTTTTCCTTAAACTTAATTTCATATCAGATGTCGCAAAAATTTCGTCTTCCACTCACTATTCCTCGCACAACTTGGCACCTTTGCCTATGCAAGCAGCATATGCCATTAAATGAGGTATAACATTTTGTTCCATGGTACCGCTGAATAAATGCGATTGAGGACCTCGAGCAAAAATGGCAACATCCTCGCCAGCATGATGACCAGATGATTTCTTAATGTAACTGGGTTTAACTATAACTGTAGTAAAAAGTCAATCATTACAAACATTCACCATTTCTAACTTAATTCCCACTTACAGTCATGAGTTTCTCCCGTTAAGTCCTTACGCTTCCAGGTATTGTCCTTAACCTCTATATACTGTTTAGGTCCCACAGCATAATTTAACACACTATACGGTACACCATCCAAATCTACATCATATTCATTTAAACCTAAAATTGGATTACCACGTCCCGGATAACCCGCCATAGACATGGTATGTGAATGATCGGCAGTTACCACTATTAAAGTATCCTCTTCATTGGTCATTTCCAAGGCAGTTCGAATAGCTTCATCAAATTCTAGAGTTTCATCTAAAGCATAACCAGCTCTAGTTTGATGATGACCATGATCTATGCGACCACCCTCTATGAAAACGTAATAACCCTCAGGATTTTTCTGCAACATTTTTATGGTACTGGCAGTCATATCTTTAAGTCTAGGTTGTGCGGGATTTAAGACTTTCTTACGAGCATTATAATCCAAATGGGCAGAATGAAAGAGTCCTAAAACCTTTTTGGTTTTATTGTAATCCAAATTGTTCAGTTCCTCTAAATTTGAGACAAAAACTCCTTCCGGATTTTCTGTTCTCCATTGTTGTATTAAATCTTTACCATCTTGCCGCTCACCCTTTGAACCAAAGGTGTCATTTTGTGTAGAGGGTATAAATTTCGTTAGACCACCTCCCATCATAACATTAAAATGTTTACCCGGCTCATTTTCTATCAACTGAGTGGCAATATCCAAACAATCCTCTGGATAAGGTATACCAGCTTTAATTATATCATAATCACTCTCAAAATGACGACTAGCAACATGGGCGTAATTTCCAGAAGGACTGGCATGTGTTATGGTTGTGGTGGTAACAATACCAGTTGATTTACCCGCTTGCTGAGCCCATAAAGCTATCGATTCTACATGATTGTCAGGATCTATAGAAGCACTACAATTTAAATAGTCTACTTTAGCATTGACTCCAATTAAACGTAAATTAGTCTTGACTCCAGTCAAGTAAGCCGTAGCGCTGCAAGCAGAATCAGCTGTCTGAGCATTAGTACAATAGGTCTAAAGTTTGGAATGTAGTGGTTCATTTTTAACAATTAGTTATTTTTAATATAAACTAAATTAATGGGTACCTTGCTCAGTCCTGTATAGGGAAATTTTTCCATAGTTAACACCGCTTCTTCACCACTTAAACCTTGACGCTGTCCTTTCAGTATACGTGCAGCTGTTAATGTTGCTATTGACATACCATCTCCCAAAAAGAATATAATATTTTTAGCTTTTCCATTATTTTGTTTATAATTTACACGCTTTTTTAAACTGTTCTGAGCCTTTTCAAACCAATATTCTGTTTTCATTTCTTGTACAGGAGTTATTCTCTCCTTGTTAACACTGCGCCCCTGAGAATTTAACTCAGTTTCCAATGTTCCATGATAAGGATCCAAACATTTTGTAGATTTAATTAAATAATTTAAAATAAAAACTATAACAAAGCCCACAAGTTTATTTGAAGTCATAGTTGTCTTAAAGTTCACGTTAATCTTTTCCCTTGATATTTAAAACAATGAAACAGATTTGTACCAATCGTACTTATTTATATAGGAAACTTTTATACTTCATATTTAACTGTGTTCAATTTAAACACAACTTGTATTTGAACTATTGTAATCTGCATATGTAAATTCAAACTGTGAGACCTATTTAGTAATTGTTCACTATTTTAAATACACGTTGTGTTTGTAGCTCATACAGGGCTTAAATAGTTACGTTACAATATTTAATTGCTTTCACACGTTTGATGGACTTTCTTTAATATTAAACATTTTATTTTGTTTATTGCCACATCTGGTTTGTTTGGCAATGGAGTATAATACAGACAATTACCCTATATAAGAATAAAAGCTATTCTAGGTGATACGCAAAGACGACCAGTATACAATAGGGCTAATCAAGCAGTGTTCTATTTTGTGCACAGTGGGATCGATAGCAAAAACAAGTGGTAATAGTTATGATAAGAACTTATTAATTTTGTGCGGCTTTGAAGTTGCAGTTTTTAGGTGATTGAACGCTCAATAGATTGAGGATTTCAACTGGCTGTTCAAGAAGTTGTGGCACTTTCAAGATAATCTATAAATCTCCAAAACGATGTGATTTATGCAAACTAATTTGAGTTTGACATCTGCAACAGAATCTTCGTAATGACCGATTGTATATAGTTTTCGATCTCCAAGATCGAAATCTAATATCAGCCAAAGAATGGATTTCACTAATCACTTCTGCTCTAGGGTGTAAGGGACTAAAATATTTTGAAGAATGAGAAAAGCACTTCTATTTTTTTATGTATCTCACAGTCCCCTTTAAAAATCGACAAACATTTCATCTAATGTCAACCATTATATCTGTCTTAATCGAACTGCCAAATTATCCTAGAAGTTCGGTCAGAGTGGATATAGATCATGTTGTCTTTAAATGACGTAGATTTGAGGATGTTGGACATGTCGAAGAGTTAAATGTGGGACTTACAATTAAATTTCAAAGTTTATAATCTCAAAGTTTATAACTATCGTGAATTGGGCGACTAAGCTACGAGGAAAAGGAAAGTAGCGTAAAAGCTAACCAACCCTGGGAAGTAATACTAAAAAGCAGTTCCGGGTCTCTTGTTGACGATGGAAAGGTGATGACGAACAACATAGTTGAATCTCACATCATGAATCATAATATATGAAACATATCTATGAAGATTCCCTACCCTATATCATAAACAAAAGGATCTAATTCCTTAGAAAGTATAGTTCGACTGGTATAGGAATCTTCTTTATCATTTAAAATATAAATTATTAATCAGTGTTTTCTACACGACATAAATTCACAGAATCTTTGTAGCTCCAAGGTTAGGACCAGTAATAACAAACGTTAATTATTGTCAAATAAAGTCACAGGTTAAGCCTGGCGAAATTTGAACATTATAGAGCTCTTACTCTCTCTCCCACAAAGCTGTGGGAGATTTTGATGGATTTGAATTAATTCCTTTATAATATTGAGCAAAGACTCTTAAGATGGGAATGATTTGTTATATTATTCCATCATGCTTACTGAATCCCTGTATTTTTAATACCAAGACCACTAGGATTAAAGTCGGAACCTAAACACTTTTGACTCTAGTCTTTTTTGATTCTACCTTAATTTCGTTTATTAATTTTCTAATAAATTTATTTATTTCCCTTCCAGGCATTAGTCCCGATCTTAATAAATTCGTCCCCAAATCAAGAGATGATCTACTGGAATGGTCCTTTTTGGCGAGAAGTCTTTACTCTACCGATCATTCGAATCCTAAACATAAAATCGATTCAGCAATGAGAGAAGGACTCGAAGATGTCATTACCGAAGTAATGGAAAATATTAACAACTATTCACGACAACGTGGTAGAGTTATTGAATTTCGTGAATTATTATATGGTTATACAAGATTAAATGCTTTACATGGACAAGATCTTATATTGGATTTATTGTTGATTTATAAGAAATATAGAGGTAAAAAGATGACGGTACCGGTAAGAAGACATTTATATGTGCAGAGAGCTTTTACGGGTATATTTATAAAGGAATTTGAAGAGGATTTCTATAATACCACTTTGCAGAAAAGTAAGTTATGCATTTAGATTTTTGAAATACTAATTTTAATATGTTTTTATTTTCCTAACAGGTTTCTTTAAGAATATTTTAAATCAAGGTGTAGAAAGTTTATCAAATCATTTCTCTATACCCGGTTTATTAGCGGCCGGTAATCCTACCGGCAGTGTCAATTCTAAAATTGTATTCGTTTTACCTATAGCGGGACGTTTAACTACATTTAAACGTTTTCTGGCTACTTATGAGCGAGTGGCCATTGAAGAGGATAAAAATTGTGATTTACTAGTGGTAATCTTTGGCTCTTTGGTGGATATACAAGATCATTTGGCCGAAATAAGAAGTTTAAAATATCGACATGTTTATCAACAAATCAATTATATACACCGCCAGGAGGACTTCTCTAGAGGAGTGGCTTTAGATACAGCAGCTCGCTCTTCCTATATACAAGAAGATAATATCATACTTTTCATAGATGTGGATATGGTTTTTAAATTGGAAACCTTACAACGTATACGCATGAATACTTTACAAGGAAAACAGGTTTATTTGCCTATCGTATTTTCCCAATACGATCCTAAAAGACAACAGCAACAACAAATACCAGCCGATGAAATAACCAATGAATCGGGTTATTTTCGACAATTTGGTTTTGGCATTTGTGCCATTTATAAATCTGATATTTTAGATGAAAATATTAATGGTTTTGATAAAGATATTACAGGTTGGGGTTTGGAGGATGTTAAATTTCTAGAGAAGATAGTTAAAAATGGCAATCGTCAAAATTCATTTATGATTAATACCGCCGAAGTTTCCGAAGATTATAATTTAAAGGCCTCACAAATGCGTAGACTGACAATATTTCGTGCTCCTGATCCTAGTTTAGTGCATATTTATCATGATATTAGTTGTGATATTAACTTAGAGACTGCTCAATATAATATGTGTTTGGGCACAAAAGCCAATTCGTTGGGTAGTACGCGTCTTATGGAACATTTATTTTATAATAATGCCGATAATATAGAATTTATTAAAGAATTTAATCGTAAAAAAGAAATTAGATAGTAAGAGGAGGGGGTAGTATTTCTTTGTGGTAGAGATTATTTGCACAATATTTGTTTTTAAATTAAAAAGTAAAAACGGTTAAGTTCCCATTTTAAGAGAAGAGCAAAAAAAAGTATTTTCAAAGAAGGGGGAGAAAAAAGGGTAAAATATAATTTTGTAGTCCGACAAATTTTCTAAAGACAAGTTTGTCTGATAAGAAATTTTCTAAACAACCTAGTTTCTCTAGCCAACCTTTAATGTTCTCCTTATCTCCCTGACCTTCTCAAAATACACAACATAAAAAAAGTATTAAATTAATCATAAAATAAACATCTTATAACTTAAGTTTGCAAGTAAAGAAAAAAGAGAAAAAATATTTGTATTTTAAAGCCAAATTTTTTTTATTGCCTTATTTATGAAAATTTAATTTAAAAAGTAACGAAAAAGTAATAAAACTTATTAAATAAGTTTATTGTTTGTTTTAGCAAATAAGTAAAGAAAAATTCATATTTTAAGTTAAAACCTAAAAAACGGAATTGCATTTTTTTTATACAAAACTCTGTACACCAACGTACTGGTTTCATATTATCATATTTAAAAAAAAAAAAATAATTTAATTATTTAAGTTTAAAAAAATAAAAAAAAAACTAAATCAACATAAGTTTAATGTGATATGTTAATTGTTAAAAAAAAATAAAGTAAATTTAAACAAAAAAGGACAAAAAGACAATTATTTAATTCATTAAATAAACGAAAATTAAAAAAAACGAACAGTAAGTAAACTGCAGATTTACTTTTTCACATATCTTACATAAATTCAACTGGTTCGATATCTAATAAAGCCAATGATTTATTAAGTACTTCACGTACAGCTTTAATTAGATAAATGCGAGCATAAACGTAGGGCATCAAGTGATCACGTTTTTCCTAATAATAAGATATTTTTGTTGTTTTAACATTGTCATTTGCGAGAGTTGTGTTCTTAAGATTAGTATAAATTAAGTGAAAATTAGACTTACCGTTAAAATTCGTATTCTTCGATAGTAAACACTGAAGATGGCTACCAGGCCATGTAGAAAATGTATTATTAAATGAGTGGAACACAAACCACGTTTTAGTTGTTCCAGACAACGATCTATGAGATTAGGAAAACCAGCTAAGTAGGCATAAACTAATTGCCATTCTTCCTGGAAAATAGAATGTGAAAAGAAGATAAAGATGTGTCAAATGAAAAATATTATATAAAAAACTTTTGACCAGGAACATGTTTTCTTGTTTCCTAAAGAAAACTTGTCTCTCGACAAAAATTTTCTGAACAAAACTTGTCTCTCTACAAATTTCTTAAACTTGTCTCTCTAAAAAATGTCCTAAATAAAACTTGTCTCTCGACAAACTTCCTAAAGAAAACTTGTCTCTCGAGAAAAATTTTTTAAACAAAACTTCTCTCGACAAAAATTTTCTAAATAAAACTTGTCTCTCGACAAACTTCCTAAAGAAAACTTGTCTCTCGAGAAAAATTTTCTAAACAAAACTTGTCTCTCTACAAATTTCCTAAATAAAACTTGTCTCTCTACAAATTTCCTAAATAAAACTTGTCTCTCTACAAACTTCCTAAAGAAAACTTGTCTCTCGAGAAAAATTTTTTAAACAAAACTTGTCTCTCGACAAAAATTTTCTAAACAAAACTTGTCTCTCTACAAATTTCCTAAATAAAACTTGTCTCTCTACAAATTTCCTAAAGAAAACTTGTCTCTCGACAAATTTCCTAAAGAAAACTTGTCTCTCGACAAAAATTTTCTAAACAAAACTTGTCTCTCTACAAATTTCCTAAATAAAACTTGTCTCTCGACAAACTTCCTAAATAAAATTTGTCTCTCGATAAACTTCCTAAAGAAAACTTGTCTCTCGACAAATTTCCTAAATAATACTTTCCTCTCGACAAACTTCCTAAAGAAAACTTGTCTCTCGACTAAGTTTTTTTTAAAAAAATTCATCTTGCAAACAATTTGCTATAGAAACTTGATCTTGCGAACAATAGATCTTGTTAACAATTTTATATACTTGGAAGGGGATCTTGTGAACAATTTGTAATATTGAGAACAAAACTTAACCTTGCAAACAATTTACTAAAGAAACGTGATCATGATCTTGTGAACAATTTTGTATAGAAAATTGATCTTGTGAAAAATTCTCAATAGAAAGGTGATCTTGTGAAAAATTGTCAATAGAAGTGATGTTGTAAACATTTTTTTTATACAAAGTTAATTATTATTATAAGAATTTTCTATAGAAAATTAATCTTGTGTATAATTTTCCATAGAAATTTGATATCGAAAATTTCTGGGAAAAATATGTATGTACGTACCTATTAACTGTAAAAATAAAATGATTTTTCACTTACCTCTTCCACAAGCAACTCCCATTGTATACTTTCAATTGGTGGCAAAGGTTCATACTCTCCTTTATCGATTCTTTCTTGGAAAGTTCTTAAAATTGTTTCCAATCTTGCCGAGTTATATAAAATAAATGAAGCACCTTTTGTGCTGCCCTGGCCATTGAGTATAATTTGCACAGGACTAGTATGTTTGACTTCCAACAGATCAACGGTGGCAGCGGCAGAACCTAAACGTTCCATTAAGGCACAAAAACGAGCATCTTGTTTTACACGTATCCCATATTTATGTAAAGCCATCAAAGTCATATCATTCGAGCGAATACTGAAGAAATAAGAAAACAAATTCAAATTAGAATTTTAAAATTTACTAATAAGAAGAAAAAAACAAACCTCAAATAATCTTTGGTTGACAAGAGACAGCGTTTACCATTGTTGCTGGGATCGGTTACTAGACCACATTTGATAATTACAGAATTGTTTTCGACAATTTTCGAGGCTACACTTTGAACTTGTAAATTAATAATGGAGTTGTTTTCCAAGTTTTCTTGTTCATAGTTCACTTGATGCCACCTAGAGTATTGTAGCAGCTTTTGCAATACATTTTGCATTAATTTGCTTCTATAAAATGACAAGTCCTCTTGTAAACAATTCTCCGGCAGTGGATTTAGATAAACTTTCTTATTGGCCACTTTTTGCAGTTGACCATAGTTGTCACTTGTTAAGACATCTGGCACTAAACGGGCGACAATAACACTCCTATGCAAATGCAGGTGAATCCTTTCCTGCCTCACTACTAATTTTGCTACCGGAAAGAGCCATTCTTTGGCTGCCTCCAAAAACTTACTTTTTTCTTGTTCGGCAACTACATCTTCGCCATTTGCAAGTTGGAAAGCGTTTTCATTTAATTGCCTCGTACAGTCGGGAAAATAATTTAACCAAATTTCAGTTTTACACGGAAAACTTACATCTCCAGTTTGCTGCAATTTTTCACTATGAATTCTTATTAAAGTCGAAATTTTACGATAGTTTTCAAATTCCACTTCATGAGAGGAATGCACAAAGTAATTTATTATATTTATTAGTAATTTATTTAAAGAATTATCCATTTTTTTCACAATTGAATGCCAAAGATAAACGAAGCGCAATTTTCAAGCGTCAGTAACAAAGTGAGTCCCGTTATTTTGTTTTACAGTTATATTTGTTGCAACTTGTTTGAATGTGGTTGTTGTTTATTTGACATTTTTGTTTTGGCAATGCAATTCGTCAGGGTATATTTAATACAAGGTGGCATCATTATCCCAGCTGATCAGTGTTTACAATTTTTTATATCTAAACTTGTATACAGGCTTAAATCACAAGCTTGTCAAACTCCATATAAAAAAATTTACAATCGTACGTTTGCTCTCAAGTGCTGATACCTTGTTAAGTATACCATGAAATTAGTGTTTTATGTAGAAGAAACCGCGACACGTTTATGCATGAAGTTAACAAAGTGAAACTTTGTGGAATGAAACATAGAAAATTTGTGTTGTGAACAATTTTCCATATAAAATTTGTGTTGTGAACAATTTTCTATAAAAAATTTGTGTAGTGAAGAATTTTCTATAGAAAATTGTGTTGTGAACAATTTTTTATTAAAAATTTGTGTTGCGAGCAATTTTCTATAGAAAATTTATGTTGCAAGCAAGAAATAGAATGGAAAACTTGTTCTTATAACGATTTTCTAAAAAAAAACTTGAAAGAAAATAATTTAATATTATCAACAATTTTGTATCAATATAGTCAAATGTTTAAGGTTGGCAACGCTAAAACGCTCTAATGTCAAACTAATACTCATTATTAAGGTGATATCAATGCAAAGTTTATTATTGTTTTCTATTTTTTTTTATATGAAGTTTGACATTTACACCAACAAATGGTAACGAGTTTTATATATATTGTTGACAATGACAAGATAGAATATGGGATGTAAACAATTCTTTTATGAACAAGTGATGACACCTTTAAATAATATCTTTTTCAAAGAAAAAAATAAAATTTTTCATTTTTGGAAATATTGTTGTTTTGTAAAATAACAAAAATTTAAAAGAAAATCCTAAAACTAAAACGTTAATAAATTTAACTTAATCCTGTTGATATAATAACAATTCAGTTACTTACAACATGTGTGTTGTTATAGATTTAGATGCGGTTTGTTTGATTTGTTTACAACCCAACAAGGAGATGCAGCCAATTTTCACAACAATCGGGGATAATGCAGAACTACAAATTGCCCAGCAGATATCCATATTATCAGAATTGAAAATTGATCAGCACAATAAAACTTTGCCGCGAAAGATTTGTGGCAAATGTTTACAGGATTTACGAGCGGCCTGGCGTTTTCGTAAAAATTGTCAAGCAGCTGTCACCATATTCCAGACGATAGTCAGATTGGGTGGTAATCAAACAGTAGAGGATGAGATAGAAGCCAAAGAGTTGGCGGTACAAGAAGTCCATGTGCCACAGGGTTTACAAATAAAATGTATTAATAATGATGATGGTGTGGCCGGTGAGGTTGACAATAAAGCTGGTGAAACTCTGCTACAAAAGAAATCAGCTGCCGTAGAAGCATTCGTTTTGAATAATACTAAAGAAAGTTCTACATTATATGAAGAACTCGTGCCACATGATTATGTAGAAGAGCAAGATAACCAAACCGAGGAGTTTCATAATCTGCAACAGGAAATAAATGAGTCAAACATGGAGGAAGTAGATGCAGGGGAGGAAAATGAAAATGATCAGATACTACAGGAAGAGCAGGAGGAGGAGGAGGGGAATAATGTAGTGGAATATTATTTAACAGAGGAAGCCTTAACAGATGACAGCACCATTAAATTGCATAACAAACTAGCTTCTAAAGCCAAAACCCAAATGGAAACTAAACAGTTGAAGCTAAATAAACAAACTACTGCCACAGACGAAAGACAGATGAAACTTACAGAGTATTTGGAAAAAGTAAATAAACCAACAGCAAGAGTTCGTACTAGAAGACAAAATGTGCAAACTGTACAAAATGTACAAAAACTAGTCGCTAATACGACACCACAAACAAAAACAATAGTTATAGAAGATTCCAATAGCGCCGAGGAATCGCAACATTTACCAGCCCAACCCGAAGTGCGACAGGTGAAAACACGTAAACGTAGAACACAGTCGCCCGAAATAAAAAAACCAAAAATTTGTGAGTTA